GACAGCCTGCGCCTCGGCATGAATCCAGGCAGTGGTTCCAAACTGTCTTAGCGGCCACTGCGTTCTTCATCAGCTCTTAAAAAAAAAAAATCAGCTTTATTTTTAAATGTCCTTGATGAAACAGTAAAGATTTTTAATTTTATTAAATCTCGACTGTTGAGTATACATCTTTGTAATAGTAGGTGCAACAAGGTGGGAAGTATGACTAAAGCACTTTAGGGCTTCCCAAAATACTGAAGGGATTGTGCTGCACTGAACTAGCTACTTTTTTCCCTGGGACACCATTTTTACCTCAGAGGAAGCTTGGCAGACAAACTCTTGAGCATTTGGCAGACATTTGCCCAAAAATGAATGAAGTGTGCGTGTCACTTCAAGGAAACAACTGACAATATTTTTTGCCAATGATGAAATTCCAGCTTTTAAGTGACAATTAGGATTTTGGAAAATGTGTATTTGCTTCTGTGAGCTTGACAGCTTCCAAATGTTTTAAGACTCATCAGAGAATATGAGATAGGTAGCAATATAAACAAATATGATTTTTAAATATTTTATATATATAATGAAATGTGTCAACCTTTGGAAGAGCTGCATTATATCAGTGAAATAATATTTCCTAAATGACCAGTGCCCCTGTTATACAACCATGCACAGGTAAAAATCCACTGAAAGTGCAAGACACACAAGTGCATTTTAGTGTAACCAAGTATGAAAAATTCATTGCTGGGGTTTCAGATTTCACATTGCACCTAGCTTGGAGAAACCATTATTTGGCAAGTTTTGGTGTGGTATCAAATAAGGATAGCCACCATTACCTAAAAAGGTTACTGAAATTCCCCTCTGCTTTCTAACTATAGGTCTGTGTGAAGTTGTATTTTTTCATATATGTCAACCAAAGTAAGGAATCACAACAAATTGAATACAGCAACATCTGTGGGAATCTAGGTGTCTTCTATTAAGCCAGACATTAAAGAGATTGGCAAAAATGTAAAACAGTGCCACTCTTCTCAATATTTTTGTTTTGGAAAGTAAATTCTTAAAAAAAAAATTTATATACACACACACACACATGCATGTATAGATACACACACATGCTATTTACTTTAACATGTAATGGATTTATTGTCTTTTTAGTGAATTCATAATTATTTTAAAAATCTCAGTCTTTAATTTCTGATAGAGTAAATATTGATAGCTACAACCCACATAAACAAAAGCCTCTTGGGATCCTGAATGATTTTTAAGATTGCGAAGTGTTTTTCAGAGCCACCGGCATGTGACCTCCAACAGGAAGGGATGCATTGTGATAATGGCACCTTCCCCAAGTAGCAAAGGCTATTTTTTAAAAGGATCATTTATAATATTTGCTCACAAAGGAATCTTTTTAAGATTTGGAATTTTTTTCCATTAAATTTTCCACATTTTCATCAAGAATGTAAGTGGGTTGATTAGTTTTTCATCTGTTTTGAGTTTTCTTTTAGCTGCTGTCAAAAAAGTTCATGCTGTGGTAATCCCTGCGATAGCGTGGCATCACCAGAAGCATTTTCATGTAGCATGAAAAGAACCATGCCATATTTACAGGCAGGCACTTGTTTATGTGTTTCTGACTAAGGTTTTTATTATGAAGATCTTCTATCTTATTTGGACCCTGTTCTTTTAATAAGTGCTTTATTATAGCTTGAAGAATGTTCTCGAATACAGATGACTTTATTGAAATCACATTGTTGGTGTGAGGCCAGACATTTTTAAGGTGAACTCAATTCAAATGTAGATCTTTTAAAAAAGTTTTTGGTATCAAAAGCTGTTGCTTTATATTTGTATACATGAGGGCTAAAAAAAAAATTGCAAACTAATGTAATGGGAAATATAGAGTTAGATTGTTAACAGGACAAGAGTGAAATCTAAGAGCAGATGGTCTTAACAAGTTTTCAAGGAAACACCTTTAACTGCTAAATATAGCCAAGGCTTTGGAGATGGTGGGAAATTGTATGGTGTGTGTGTGGGGGGGGAGTGGCTATCAAGTGGAGGGAGGCTTGTGGAAAGGAGTTTTTAAATAAATATGATCTCTGTAAAACTACATCAACAAAGGTTTGCCAATTAGCAGAGAGCTTTAAAGAAGCTTTGCTCTAAATAGCTAAGAATGATTTGTAATCATTACAGTTCTCCCCCTTTATCCTCCGGGATATATTCCAAGACCCCAGTGAATGCCTGAAACCACGGATAGTACCGAACCCTACATATGCTGTGTGTTTTCCTACACCTACGATAAAGTTTAATTTATAAATTAGTCACAGTAAGAGATTAACAACAATAACTAATGATAAAATGGAATCATTATAACAATATACTATTATATTGTTATATATGATGAATATGGTCTATATACTGTTATATATGTGAATATGGTCTCCCCCCACCCCCCATATCTTATTATCCTGTACGCATCCTTTTTGTGATGATGTGAGATGACTCAATGCCTACGTGATGAGATGAAAGGAGGTGGAATTTTCCATTTTCATATCTTCGGATGGCTGTTGACCGAGGGTAGCTGAAACCATTGAAAGCGAAACTGTGGACGAGGGGGGACTACTGTACTTGAATTGTTTGTATATTCTCTCAAGTCGTTTAAAGAGATTTATAGTCTTGCTTACACTATTAATTTGCTTAACAACCCTTGTCTTTATAGATGACATAAATAAATAATCCCCCTGAGCAGTCTTTCTTGAAATGGAATCTAGGGGTTTGTGGAATATAGTATTGAGGAGCAAGACTCTATGAAAAACTTAAAATATTTGCCCCTTATGTTTTATGATGATATTAAAAATTATTAGGCCTAAAGCCAAACATTTTACAGTGAGTATTTTCAATTGGAAAAACACTCTAGTAAAAAATTAAACCTTAATTTCCTAAGTTGCTGTTTCTCAAACTGTTCTGTGGGCCTGGGTGGGAGTAAGGTTGAAGAAATTAATTTTTTTTTTTTAGAAGAGCGTTTCTCAAATTTGAGAGAAAGCATTTTTGACTCCACCACATGCCCCCTCCCCCCCCAAGTTAACCTTGTATGAAATGTTAACTGATTTTACAGTTTGCGCTGCTTTGATTGGAAAATTGAATCAAAGCACCATGACAGATTTCAATTCGAAGTTGCTAGATATAAAAACAAGCTGAAGGCTGAAGCTGAATAATGATGAATGTCAACTGTAGTTTAATGTGTCTATGTATATGTATATATACATATATATGTATATTAACAGGATGTGGAGTACAGCATAAGGAATAGAGTCAGTGGAACTGTAACAGCTATATACACTATCAGAGGGGTAATAGATTGGGGGAGGGGAGTTATCACTTTGTGAGGGGTATAAATGTCTAACTATTACATTGTTTGCACACCTGAAACTAATTAAAAACAGACAACAAAAAACAAGATGAAGGATGACATTGACCTGTCAGATCGCACACACCTGTGATCTGATTCAATTGTAGATTTGCATTTTTATGCTGGATTTGGCACTTTCCCATTTTACATGATTCTCACGACCCATCTGTGAAATTAGGCAGATGACTAAAACCTTGCATGGCTCCATGGCTTTTCTCTGGGAAGTCCCAGAGCTGGGGCTGGAACTCAACTTCTCGGGGGCAGCAAACTTTCCATCCTTGCCTCATTGTGATCCAGTCTTCCCTGTGATGTGCTAAGGCCCTCTTCACTTTCACAGCCCACCCGCCCCTCCCGGCGCTCTTCCCACCAGCCTTCTGCCTGATGCGCAAGCGCAGTGCCCAGCGCCCGGCTGCCGCAGACCTTGGCGTTCTGATCCTTGGCTGTCGCTTCATCCACCAGCTCACTGACCTCCCTCCACCAGCTCACTGACCTCCCTCCTTGAGCCCTGAATAGAATGCGTGTTTCCAGCTCTCTTCTGGACATGCCACTCCCTCATTCAACATGTCACTTCACCCCAGCCTGCTGCCCCTCCACCTACATAGTCACAGGAAGCGAACCACTCAGAGTCACCCTAGAATGCTCTCTCCTTCTATCCCTTCCCAGCCTCCTCATCCAGTCAGTCCCGAGGACTAGTTGATTCCATGTAAGTGTCAGTAAAGTCCTTCCCGCTGCTCCTACTATCGAACGCTCTCCTGGCTTCCAGCTCCCCGTGACTCCGAACAAAGCTGTGGTCATGCCACTCCCCTCGTAAGCCCTTCAGTGGCTCGGTTGTGCCCGCCGGGAGCCTGAGCTCGGTGTTCAAAGCCTTGAGTGATCCGGCCGGGACTTTGTCTCGTTTCCTCACCCACCACCCCTCGTTCCCTTGCACCCTACCCCACCTTGCTCTCCAGCAGGACAAGCGCACCTGCTCCCTGGACATCTCCCTGCCTTGGCACGAGCTGTTGCGGGAATACCCACTCCTCTCATTCTTCCAGACTAACCTCAAGGCGCTGCAAGCCGAGGCCCTATTTCTGTTCATTTTGGTTTCCCAGCTCTTAGCATCATCCTGGCACAGTGTGGGCTTGATATGTGTTTGAATAAAGTCCATATGAGCTGTTGTAGTCATCTGTTTGAAGAAGAAAGCAGTATTTTGTAACTCTTTTCCATCCCATATCTTTGCCCCCAATTTCAATGAACCTTTTCGAGTGATAACTGAGAGATAACAGTTAAGGTGCTAATAGTGCGGCTGAGTTAACGTGGGTGTGTGTTTCACCTGTCAGTTTTTAGTATCTGGAAAAGAGAGAGATTTTCCTTTGCACCAGGACGTTAATTATGTCCAAGAAACGTGTTTCTAATAGGACTAGGGAGCGCGAACGAATGGGTCAGAGCTTAGTACCCCAGGCGCTTTTCAAACCAAATGTGGTAATGTTGATTTAAACCCGCTCGACACAAAAGCACCCAAGTACAGTCATGGAAAATATTAGACTTGCTTTCTATGCAGCACTATATTGTTGAGAGAACTGTTCATTGAAATTATGTCCATCACAGACAAAGATTGCAAACTCGCTCTCTGTTTATTTTTAAACAGGATCAATTTGACAACTTAGAAAAACACACCCAGTGGGGAATTGATATTCTTGAGAAATACATCAAATTTGTAAAGGAAAGAACGGAGATTGAACTCAGCTATGCAAAGCAACTCAGGTAAGTTGATATTGAGAAAGATTATGTGTTTGTTAACATGGATGTAAGGATAATTTATATTCTCATTTTATAATATGTATAATCCTTCGAATAGTTCTTTTTTTCCCTTTCATTAAGGTAATATTCCATAGAAACAATTGTTTTTAATATAGACAAGTAATTGTCATAGAACAGTAAATATGAAAACTAAGTTATGGCTTTTAGGCTCTTTTTTTTTTTAAGGATATTTTCTGAATTTTAGAGCAGCTGATTTTTTTCAGGAAACTGTTTTGGAATATAACATATATACAGGGAGGTACATAAATCATAAATGTACAGCTCCAGAAATTTTCACAGAGCGAACACACCCATATAACCAGCACCCAGGTCAAGAAACAGAAAATTACCAGCCTCAGAGGCCCCCCGACCCCTTCTAGGTCTCCGGGTCACCATCCTCCCCGCAAGGGTGACCACTCTCACGGTTTCTAACAGCGTGGATTAGCCTTATCTATTTCTGATCCTTATGTGAACATACTCATTTATTAGGCAGTGTTTGTACTTGGCTTCTTTGTTCTCCATTATGTGTGTGAGATTCATTCATATTGTTGGATGTGGTGGTGGTTTGTCTCTTTTCTTTGGTTTTTAGTATTTTGGTGTATGAGTGTGCCACGGTCAACCCATTCAACCATCACTAGGTGACTGCTCGTTTCCTGTTTGAGGATATAAAGTATATACCCAGGAGTGGAACTGCGGGGTCATAGACTTCGTGTATGTTTAATATTAGTAGATGGGGGGGTCGAACAACTTTGCAAAGTGCTTCTACGGATTCACGCCCCCTCCAGCAGCATGGCAGAGGTCCCGTGGAGCAGGATTTAAAAAATACATTGGAATGGCTGCTATAATGTGTGCATATTTTTCATCTGTGTCTAGTAGCAGTATGTGTCTGTTTTGCATTCAGATCTTGCTATCCACACAAACATGCAGCCAAAGAGTAAGTTGGGATCATAGTACTGGTCTAGTGTCTTAATGGACATAATCTACCACTGGTCAGCCTCCAAATTCCCACACACAGGAAAAAAAACAACAAACCGTTGGACCGCTTACATCTTTAATGATGGAATTATTAAATAATCATAATAAAATAATAAAAGAAATTTGTACTTTTATATAAAATGTTTTTAAAAGTTGTAGGTAAAACTAAGCTTGAACTTGAAGAGGCATGGAGAATCTTAGATGATCTCTTGTTTGGTTGAATTGGCTTCTGCAGATGGTTTTAAGACTTGTTAAAAGGTCTACATGATTTTTGGTTTGGCAACATTTCATTTTAATCCAGAGAGTGTCTGCGGAAAGGGTATGCCGTGCGGTATTGAAAGACTGTGGATCCTTCTAGGGCTGGTGGTGTTTGTATGTGAGCACCTAAGGGTTAACCTGTGGCATAGTTTTATGAATGACAAGTTCTTTTTCCATTGAGTAAATAAAATGAAAACATTGCTCAATGAAATAATTTTTGTAACTCGTGGAATCCAGATGAATTTTAGTGCCTCATTAGTACTTTGAGGCTTTTCTAACTGAAAATAGGAGTAGAGCCGTGAGCTGCTTCTTGTTGATTTAAATGTTTCAGTTTGTCACAAAACGTCTTTCATATGAAAATGGACTACATACAGTGTTATCCAAAATAAGGTCTCACCTTATGGATTTTTCTATATTTGTGGCCTCTTCTTTTTCTATTAGCACACACTCCTCTTTGCTGACCCGAAGTCTACTCTTTCCTTTTGCTTTGGAGGCTTGTTATTAGATGCCATTACAAGTTATTAGATGCCATTACTGGTTCTTACAAGTTTCTGCAGCATTCTGTGTTGTGAGGGGAAGTCCTTTCTCAGCTCCCCCTGGCTCCTTGCCCATTCTTATCACCCTGAGTGGGGGAACTGAGGACTTAGGTAACCAAGTGGGCCGCTATTGGAGAAGACTCAAAATTCCAGTATAGGCTTAGGGCAAAGTTGAATAGCTCTCCACTGACCGTCTCTTACACATGTTTGAGCACTTGAAATGAAGTATCAGTATTACAGCTATGATGGTCATCTCTGGGGAAGTACTTTTCCTGAGATTTAAATATTAACATTTGTTTCCTTACGTCCCTGAGAAGTATCTAAATTTGTACTTGTTGGGAGGAGTTGATAACAGAAGAAAAAAAAAAAATAGAAGACTAATCCTCTGGACCAGCCTTCTAACCTTTTATACGGAGATCTCAGCGAGACCCTTAATGCTGATATGAATCATACTGTTGATCCCGTCTTGACTGGCTTCCCCCATTCTCCTAAGTGACTCTTTCAGTTTCCTTCCCATCAGACCCCAACACCCCTTTTCCCATCCTCGCGCTTGTTTCTTCCTTCACAGGAAAAATGGAAACGTCCTCAGACCCCACACCCTCTACCCAGCTGTCAGCATCGGTTCCCACGCCTCTGCGCCCCGCCCCCAAGATGCTCCTGTCTCAGCCAAGGCCGTCCTCTGTGCGCGAGTTCTCACCCTCTGTCTGACTCCATAACTCTCCCCCAGTGGTTCTCCTCGCTCCTACATCAATCAGTTCTTGACTCTCTACGGGATTACTCTCATCGGCACACAGATGTGCCCTTATGTCACCCATCTTTGAAAACGAAACTCCTCAGCTCACTTGCCCACCATTTCTTTACTTCCCTTTGCTGCAAAGCTTCTCAAACGCATCCTTCCATGCTGCCTCCAGTCGCTCTCTTCTCGCTGTCTTCAACTCAGCTCACCCGCTCCACTCGCCAGCACTGCCCCTCAGGGACACCAGTGACCTCCATCTGGATCAACCCAGCTGCCTTCCTCCGTCCTCCTCCTCCTCCTCCTCGACCTCAGCAGCGTTCTGGGGCGGATGCTCCCTCCTCACCTGGCTTCTGAAATACCAGTCTCGCAGCTTCGCTCCTAGCTCCGTAGAAACTCCTTCCCCGCCTCCCTGGCTGGTTCCCCCTCCTTCTGCCCCTTCACCCTGATGTGCCCCAGTGCCCAGTCCCCAGTCTTTCTCAGTCTGGACTCCCTTGGTGAGCTCATCTGTTTCGTGGCTTTAAGTTCGATCTACAAGGCAACGACTCGCAGATATGTGTCTCCCAGCTAGACTTCTGTTCTGAACTCCAGAAAGAGATTACTCAAAATCTCCCACTTGGGCATCTAAAAGACATCTGAAATGTAACGTATTTGAAACAATCTCTCTGCTCAAAATCTGCATCTCCACAGCCCAGCTCTCCCCCATGCACTTAAAGGCAGGGGCATCCTTCCTTGCTTAGCTCAGAAAACCTGGGGTCACCTTTGGCTCCCCTCTTTCTCTCACACCCCCGTCCCCATCCAAAGCGTCAGGAAGCCTTGGTGACGTGTCTTTCCAGGTGTATCCAGGATCCGACCACTTCTTACCTCCGCTGCTGCCACTGTGGCCCAGGCCCCGCCACCCCTTACCTGGGTTATTAGTCTCCTAACTGGGTTCCCTTAGTCCCTTCTTGCGTATCTGTCTTCCACAAAACAGCAGATGACAGCACTCCACGGTTCCAAACCCCAACATCTACCCGTTTCACCCAGAGCAAATCCAGAATCCTTGCAGTGCATGTCCCATAAAGCCCTACACGGTCGGGTCCCCTTACCTTTCCGACATCCCACCTTCCTCTCTCTGCTGTAACCATCCGGTCCCGTGCTGTTTCTTACACATGTCTGGCACATGCTCACCCCAGGGCCTTTGCACCGGCCTTTCCATGTAGAGACCACCTATATGTTCATCCCCCGGGATGCGCACGGCCAGCTCCTTTATCTCCCTCAAGCCTTTGCTCATGTCACCTGCTGTACTTTTCAGTTTTGCCACAGCACTGATAACTTTCTGACATTTTGTATCATTTTCTTAAGTATTTTGTATTTATTGTTCATTGTTTCCCGCCCCTTCCCTGCTGGGATGTAAGCCCCGCCATGGCAGGACTCTTTCCGTTGAGTTCACTAACGTACCCGCTAGTATGGAACACTGCTCGGACATAATAGGTGCTTAGTAAATAGTTGTAGAAAGAGGGAATCAGCAAGGTACAGGTCTAAGATATTGGTCAGCAATGCGTCGAGGAGAATCGTGTGCTTGCCCAGGCCTATGAGAGCTGATGAGGGTTTCACCACAAGCAGAACAAATAACAATGTGTCAACAGAATTACAGGGGACTCTAATGAACGAGACACAGGAGGTGCCTGAGCCGGAGAGGCTCACTTGCTCACCGTGGAAAAGAGACTGCATGCAAATAAAGAAGTGAGTCATTTAAAGATAGCATTTGTCACTCCATATAATAAGTAAAACCAATGATGCAATAAGCATGTTGGGGGCACGGGTTACTTAGCTAGACTGGCCGTGGAAAACCCATTGCTTGAGAACTGAAGGACAGGAGAAGGCAGGCATGCAAGTGCCCAGGGGTAGCTGTCCCGGGCTGAGGAATCAGCGAGTGCAAAGGCCCAGAGGTGGGAACATGCTCAAAGAATGGAAAGGCCAATGCGACTGGAGCACATTCAACAAACAGTTGCTTGAAATATCAGTATGATGTTGAAAAATCAACATGATTTTTGGAGAGAGATATCTGTCATTAAATATTATTTTCTGCATTGGAGGAAGAAAATGCCAACCTAATGTTAGACGTAGAAGATGATAATTAGGGCTTTGGTTTCTGTAGGTAACGGGCTGGCAAACTGCAGCCTGTGGCCAAATCCACCCACTGCCTGGGTTTATAAATAAAGTTTTATTGAAATACAGTTGCTGCCATTCATTTATGTATGGCTATGGCTGCTTTTACAAAAACAGGGGCAGTTGAATAGTTGTAACAGAGACCCCACGACTGTGAGGTATTTGCAGGTCTAAACTATTTACGGTCTGGCCCCTTGCAGAAAAAGACTGTTAACCTCTGCTAGAATTATTATTTATTCAAGACAGTGTAGGGTAAAATTCCTAATATAATTTTAAAACATCTTCTATGACCTATATAAGAGCACCGATGA